CACACACACACACACACACACACACACACACACACACACACACACACAGACAGACAGACAAAGCCATGAGCAAAAACAAGAGGGTTTTATATGCTTAGAATTTATACTGTTTTGACAGCAGTCAATGTTTTTAAAATATGTGAAGGTGAAATTAGAAAGTCCAAAGTTGACAGAATTCAGATCTCAAAGAGTTGAATACATAGAATGTGAAAGAATCAATAGTTGATATGTCTAGAATCTGAGAACTAGTGAAGAAAGATGAATTCTGTATGTGTCTAGACACAAAGATACATACAAACTAATTAATAGACTCAGAAAGTATAAAAATATTAAATAGGAAACTTTAATAAGAAATGTACAACCAGACACATACAACTGCACAACATCAACCCACACATCAAGTTTCTTATGCTTAAGAACATATAATCAAAGCAGCTCTGTGTGCCGGTGTGGAGGAATTAAGAACTTCCAAAAGTAGAAGCAACTAACCAGAGATTTCAGGAGCATCCTCTGAAGCCAGCAGACAATTGGGGAGGTGTGTACTCACTGATAAATTTTGCATTTTCATATCAGCTTATAAGAAGGATAACAGTGATTGGCATGTGCACTTGTGATTTCTACAGTGTGATCTCTCCTCATGCAGACAGTTGCAAGTTCCTATCATAACATCATGGATGCATAGCTAGGAGAGCTGTGCATTGGTAGCAGTCATGAACCAGTGCTTCTGCCTCTATACCCAGAGTGCACATGAGCTCTCTCTGTCTTTCTCCTTCACCTCCCATCTGATATATAACACCCTTCAGCTGTCTAGCAAAATGATCTTCCAAGACTCAAGGTGAGATAAATACCTTGCTTCAGATAAAAGTTTATAATTCAGGGACTTTAAGAGAGAAAAATATATATCAAAAAGATTTGGCTCAGAAAGGAGAAAATGACATTTTTTACAAAGCAGAAATGTCTAAGATATAGAGAACGGGAAGTTAAAACTCACCAGGGCCACATTAGTGAACCAGAATAAACAGCTTCAGAAGCAGCATTTTTATTATTACAGTATTATTATTAGGCTTGTGGGGATGGGGTAGGAAAAACCCATTCAAAAGTCATTCATATTGATTGATTCATCTGTCTGTCACTTTGGGAAACTAAAATTGACATTTTCTAGACTTATTGTGCGTTCACATTATGTTCTGGAAATGTCATATTCTTAATGAATCTAGAAGACTGGCGAAACAGTGGGTCACTGTCCTATCAAAGCTGCTCCACTGTTAGAGAAACATTTTCTGCAGCCATTTTTCAGAGAATGTCTTCTTTGCCTTGTAAATCTCCATTCTGTATGAGTTAGAGCAGCTTCTAGTTGGGGATTAGTATGTAAAGGAGAGCACTCTACACTTCCCACAAAGACCCTCAGAGTTTGTGAGAAGCCATTCCAAAAGGTGCTATCAAGACTCAGAGTTGAGGGCTGCAAACATTTCATAAGAAAATGATTTATGTTGTCCATTCATGCTTAAGATACCCAAAGTTGTAAATTATTTCTAAACTGTACTGTGACCAACACAACCACAGAGAACCTGAGTCACAAAAATAGCTGACTCAGTAGGAAATAAGGCTGCAGGTAGGAGTCCAAATGTACAAGTGATTTTAAAATCTGAAAAAGACTTGCATTTACTAATTTGTAAAGCACAGATCTCCAGATTATGTGGATAGATAAAAAACAAAACCAAACAAACACTGGAGCTAGGGAGATGATAGCTTCTTGAAAGTCTGAGTTTCAATCCTCAGAACCCAAGTAGAGCCAGACTTAGTAGTCCAGGTATCTGAAATTCCAGTGCTCTTATGAATGGTAGGAGGAGAAGATAGAATCCTGGAAGCTCATAAACCAGGATGCTCTCCATTTGTGCACAAAGCACAGAATGAAAGATCCTGGCTCAAACAAGGTTGTTGATCTCCAAAAGCATCCCATGCCACATGCTTGCCCACAGTCACACATGTGAATGTGCACATACCACACATTGTACATGTATGCATGTTCAATACCTAAAATTAAACTTAGTTGTGTGTTCTACACAAGGTAATACATGAGGCTAAGAAAGGAAAAAGTAACTTAAAAGGGAAGGTTGACCAAATTGTGACCAAAGCAATGTCCTGTTACCTACATTGTTGTAAACAAATATATTCAAGGTCTAAAAATCATTGTTAAAGACTGGATATTGTTTAAAATATCCTATTCTTCAGGAATGGATGAAAAGTTCAGTGCTGTACAGGCAAGAAACGTTCTCCAACAGAAAGTGAAAATCCACAAAACCTGTATGAGAACAAGAAGGGAACCCACTCTTCTAATGGAGATTTCAATCCTCATCCTGCTGCTCAGCTTCCTACTTCATCCCTTTAGTTTAGAACTAAGGAAATTCAAGTAAAAAGTTGACTTTCTAAAAAAATAATTAATAAATGTAAAATTTAAATTAAAATATTATTTTACTTTTTGTTTACCTTTCTGCCCGATCACTGACACTTAACCAACAAAATAATTACCACAAATAACTAACAACAAACTAACCAAACAATAAAGCAGATATAAATGACATTCTGCACCACTGCCATATGTGTGTGTCAAACCTCTTCTAAAACCTGTATGGAGACTACAGAAGGGGGTAATGTCTGCAGCTGTGAATCGCTGACCACACCAACAAAGACTACTAATTTATTAATTTTAACAACATCCATTGAAAAGTACAAGACAGAGAAACAGACCTGTGACTTTGCCTAGAGTAAGTGACCTTGCTGTCCTGAACTCAACGTCTGGGGAGAAGTTATAGCTGAAGAGTTGTTGATCCACCTGTAGGAAAACATAATAATGCCATCAGTCAAGGTTTTCAGAAGGCATAAAACAATCCTTTTTGTAAACAGATTACAGTCTTACACAGGTAGATTCTTCTCAGGTGTTTTCTCCCAAGAGAGATTCAAAATGTCCCACAAGCTGTCCCATGATGCACATAAAGTACCCTTTCTTTCTTCCTTGTAAAACAAGTTCTTTGACATGCTTACATTTCCTCAGAGATCCCACAGACAGGCCTATTGTCAAGTATTTTCTCCTCACTGAGAATTTTTCACCAAATTCTTCACTGAAAACAAGTAAACAGAGATGCCCTTCTGGCATCTGCTGTGGCACATTAGATGGGATCCAGCAGTACTGCACATTTTACTTCTTCCTCCCCTCTTATTTTTGAAGCCAACACCATTTTATCTTCCTCCCTAACCCTGACCTGTTTTCCGGTATGGACTGCAGAGCTTCCTCATCATGCAACATAGTTGGGTAAGCACTTGAGGAAAGCTGCACATATTGCTGCCACTGCCAGAGCTGGCTGATCACATCCCACTGGCAGGCTCAGCAGAAGTCACCGCCGGGTGCTCCAGGCCTTGATTTCGAGGGTCCTCCCTTAGCCATCACCTTCATACACTGCTGGTTCTGGTTTGCTCCCCTCCTCTTTCTCCTTCCTGGGCTGCACCACCAATCTATCTCCATTTTTCTCAATCTACAGAGCCAACAGATTCCTCCAATCTCTATTATTTGGGGAAGAATATATATACATGTATATGGCCATAAAAGCCAGGGGACAAACCCAGGTGCCATTCTTCAGGTGCCTTCCACTTTTTGGCTGAGACAGGCTCTCTCTTTGGCCCAGAACTTCATCAATAGGCTAGGCTTCCTGTCTAGCCAGCTCTCAGGGACCACCTTGTCTCTCTCAACATCACAGGATTACAAGCATGTGTTTGTCATCTCTCCTCGATTGCTACAATGCTTCTGGGATCTGAACTCAGATCCTCAGGCTGACAAAGCAAATGCTTTCTTTACTAAAAAAGAAATTAGTAATTTAGTAAAAATTAGTACCAATCTCAACTCTGAACATACAAATGATTCTATCCTCATCATTTTCTACAGCATATGCTAGAAATGAAGACAAACAGTAATACAGCAAGGTGAGTGAGTTTGCTCTGCTTGGGGAAAATCAAATGGATCAGGACTAATATCTAATCCTTCCATTCAGTGCCTTCATTCACAACTCTCTTTCTATATATATCCATTAAGAGTTACTCTCTTCAGGAACCTCCTGACCTTGTCATTTATCCAAGACTTTAGTACAAACTATGACCCATGGTGTGTGATTTAACTCTATATCACTGTTTTGTGAATTAAACTATAATTTCTTTTTTAGTAAAGAATATATGAAACGTGACACAGATGCATACTTCCAAATGCCTTTCTCCTTACAATGCTATGACATAGTTTAACCTAGTGACAGAGAAGTCACAAAGATGAATAAGTTAGTCAAGCCACATATTAGTATTTTAACAGCTGTCCATGGCCATGTTGTTTCTGGACTTGGGATCTCTCTTCTTGTTTTCAAATAACCAGGTTTGTCTATCTGTCCTTTAAAAGGCAATTTGAACAGCTAAATTAAAATTATGGAAAAAGCCAGGAGTCTTGTGATTTGGTGGCTAAGTGTCCTTTCCCTCTGACAGGTAGGCAGCATTCCTGAAATGTTCCTTACTGGCCAACCAGGAAATAAGGATCTACCAGGGGCCTGCTTTTTGTTGTTGTTGTGCTTGTTTGTTTACACTAAACAGCTTTTTACAAATGATGAAAAAGAAATATAGATTGGATTGAGAGGGTGTAAGGATGGTCCAGAAGACAAACCTGCTGTCTTTCTGAGACAATAAACAGACTTAAGGATCAAAACGTAAAGTTTCTGCTCTAGTTTTTTTTTTTTTTCCCCTGCTCTCTTCAGCACTTTGCAAACAGCAAGTGGCTGCTTAGTATTGACTGTAAATTGATTGGTGAAAATTACGTAGACAGAGAAGGAAAACACATACATCTTATTGCTCTCTCTGTGTTCTACTTCCTTTTTTCATTTGTGAAGAGCACAGAAAATATAAAGGTACTAAAAATGTTCATATGTAAAACGCTCTACCGAACACACCCCAGTTTTCCATCAGGACTTCATTAAAAGTCTAAACAAACACAGCTTGGGGGCACAGATAGCTCAATCAGTGAAGTGTTTGCCACAAGAGTCCAAGGACCTGAGTTTGGTCCGTAAAACCCCTGTAAAATGTCAGGTGGGGTGGCACGTGTTTGTAATCCCATAACTTGGGAAGAAGGGTCAGGGAGATCTCTTGAGCTCATGGGAGAGCCAACCTAACCTCCTCTGTGATTTCTATACCAATGAGAGTCCTTGTATCAAAAAACTGAAGAGAACTGCCCCTTCTCAGGAATGAGACTTGATGTTGACCTCTGACCTATACATGGAACTCCCACGGACTATACAAGCAGGAAGCTATCATTACAAAAAAAAAAAAAAAAATTCCTACCATTTACCAGTTCAGCAGCTGCTCTCCCCACCCAATTCAAATGTGCTCAAAGGTGTGACCCCTTCCTCATTTCAGGAATATTGTAACCGATAAGAGGTTAATTTCTAATGGTATGGGAATTATTTGTGTCATATATCCAACAATTATTCCTGAACATCCATCTAATTAGACTAACTAATAGTCATCCTTACTTTCTCCCACAGGCCACATTAAAAAGGTCTCCAATGCTGCATCCTGGCACCCCTGAAATTCTCTCCATAGCTCCCCCTGGAGCATGTTTCAAGGGACATAGAATCTTCCTGACTGATTTTTACCTTATCACTGTTAAATATATCTTTCCATACAGGATGATAAGGAGTTCTAAAAGGGAGACTCCAAACTGTGTACTCCTAAGTTTAAACCCTAAACTCACCCCACCAGTCTTGGTTTAAGAATGAACTTGACACAGCCCAGAGTCACCTGGAAAAGTCTTAATGAGAAATTTTCTACATTGGATTGACCTGTGGACATGTATGTAAGGAATTATCTTAAGTTAATTGATGTGAGAAGACCCAGCCCACTGTGGGCAGCACCATTCTTTAGTAAGGGAGTCCTAAACTCTATGAGAGTAGAGAAATCAAGATGGACACAAGCAAACAAGTGATCATATATACATTAATTTCTCTCTGCTCTTGGATGTTGAAGGGAACTAGTTGTTCTAACTTCCTGTCACCTTGACATCGCTCTTATGGTGGACAGTAACCTGGAATTATGAGTGGAAAATAAACCCCTTCTGACTGAAGTTGAGTTTTGTCAGGATATTTAACACAGCAACAGCCATGAAACTAGAACATCTTCCGTTCTCCACAATGTCAAATCAATCTTAATCACACAGCACCTGCAGCCATGTGGAAGCCATCCACTTAGTTCATAAATGTTCACCTAACACCTGCTGCCAGGGACTGCTTGGTAAGGAGCTAGCTCTGCAGTAATGAATGCAAACCAACTTCATGCTTTCATCAAACTCACATTCTAGACGAGGGTTACAGAACATAAAGTAAATAAATAAACTCTATTTATTCCATGTCAGATAGCATGAGTTCCAAAGAAAAAACAATAAAATAAGTCAAGGGTAATGAGCACTGCATAGAAAAATCAAGGGAACAGATTGGAGGTCATCAGGGGAGGTCTGGATAAAGCTAGACATTGATTTATTGGGAAATGCATAGTATTCAAAAGTACAAGATTAAATGAGATAAGCCATCACATAACTATAGCTACAAAGCCACAGGAGTCTAAGAGAGTCATGTGAGTACCAATGTGTAGGAGAGATAACAGAGGACCCACAAAGAGACAGCAGTGATCAACTGATAGGGGAGAAGAAACATCAGAGAGGAGTGGAACTATTCAAAACATATGCAAGTCAAGTCCCAAAGGGTGGGAGCAATCTTCTTATCGGATATCAGGAATATGACAGGTGAGGAAAAGGTTGGCATGCTACCATGTTGTGTAGCACCTTCCTCCCTTGGAGGAAAGCTTGGGTGCAGGGACCATGGAGTTGGCCTGGTCTAGCTGCTTTGAGAGGCATGCATCACAGGCTTTTGGGGTTAGAGTCAGTGACTCCTGGGGTACTGTGTGCCTTTCAGTTCCTGAGAAACTAATGCACTCCCTCAGGCAGTAAAGCCTTCAGGCCATTTTGTGTTTGTATTTTCCCTTAGAAGTCAAGAAATCATGAAAGCTTAAGAGGACAATTGGTATTAGACATCAATCTTGTGTACCCTGTACAGCTTGGAATGTCATTGTATCTTGGCAACAACTGTATTGATCCTGGCAATTGCTACTATATCCTCTTTCTGATAAGGGTATAAAAGTCAAACTTTTCTCAATAAAATTGTCTGTGCCTCAGTCTTGCTCTGGCCCCTCCAAACCCGAGTCTGATTTTATGCCTTGACAAGCCATATCAGGTGACCTTGGCTCAGTAAGGAAGTGCGGCACTTACACCAGGGGAAGCGGAACAGTACATCCTACCAGGAAGCTCATTAGGCTTGGTAAGTAAATGAGTCAAAGGCTTCAGGAAGTCCCTGAAACTGACCAGATACACTGGGGCTAGGTTCTTAGCTCCCCAAACTGACTTGCTTGAAACAAGAATTTTCCTACCTATTGATCATCATGTCAGCTTTCCTCAGGTTGCCACCCATGCTGGAGTGGATTGTAGTGATGGAGCTGTTTTTAAATCACTTTTGCTCTGTAACCCCTCAGCTATTCTCCCATTAGTAATCTCAATAAATCTAAAAATTCTCCTGTTAGTAATCTCACTGGCTCACTAATTTGGGTTTAGTGGCATCCTTATATTGGTTTGCTGTTTGTTCTCTAAATGGAGTGAGTAGACATTTGTTCATGTCTCCCCAGAAATATTCCTCACAACATTACACCACTGGGTTCTGCAACTATAACCCCATTCATATCTTGAGCAGTGCAGTTTTTTGTAACATGCTGACACTATGGGGAAGGAAAGTACAATAGTTAATTTTGTCAGCTACACAGAATTTAGAATTATCATGGAAATAAACTTCTAGGCATATCTGTGAGTGAGTTTCTAGATTAGATTAATTAAGTTGGAAAGACCCACCTCAAATATGTGTGGCACCATTCCAAAAACTGGGATTCTTGAATAAGTAAAAAGTAGAAAGTGAGCTGAATACCTTCATTCAATTCTTTCTGATTACTAACTAAGGATGGAATGTGACCAGCTGCCTCATGCTACTGTTGCAATAACAGACTATACTCTCAAACTGCAAGCCAGGATCATTTAAACTATTTCTTAGGTATTTTGTTATTGCAATAAATAAACTCTATTTATAGTTAGTATAACTAACTAACATAGAAGTTATACTTTAGAAATTGGTATACATCAAATTTTTTATTTATAGTTAGTATAACTAACTAACATAGAAGTTATACTTTAGAAATTGGTATACATCAAATTTTCCAAGAAATTTGAAAATAAAATGATAAAGTCTAGCAATCTGTAAAACTGGTGAGAAAAAGAGTTTCTTTCCTTAAGCCAGAAGGATCTTGGTTGATTTGTTTGCTTGCTTGTTTTTGATTCATTGCATAGTTTGTGCTTCAGGGTGCCATTTGGTGGAGCTGGGAAGGTGATAAAAAGGATAGAAGACAGGAGGATGTTGAAGGTGTGCTCGTGAGAGCGTCATGAGATCTGACTCACAGGTAGTAGGACAGGTCTTAGAGTGCTGAGATATTGAGCCCAGGCATGGGAGGGAGAGAGCACACAAGTCCCCAGGTCTAGGTAGGCAGAGCTAGGGTAGGAGGGGATAGGCTAATGAGAATGTGTGATGTCTTTTCTAAAGAATACATTGTTCACAGAGGAAGAGAGCAAAGTTATTTTCTGAGAGAGCAGTGTCTTTGCATCTGTTGCTGGCCAGCAAAGAAAAGAGCATTTTGAGTGATAAATGATAAATGGGGAGAACACATATGAATGGATTAAACTCACCTATGTAAATGGGTGGTTGCTAAGCTGATGAACATTCTCTTTAGGTTTTGGTCAAAGAGGGCTCATCTAGGTTTGGCTGGACTTTATTGGGATCTGCCCTACCATGCCTTTGGCTCTATACAGAGTCACTGATCTTTCAGAGAAGCCTATCACACTCTGTTTTCTCCGAAAGCTATGTCTGTGCTCATATGAACTGTCTAAGAACCTTCTCTATCCAGTCAATCTTCCTTGTCTTCAAGACCCAGTTTGCACTAGGAAGGAAGTAGTGATGTAGAGGAGACCCGTGCCTTCCCAAGGGCCTCCACATCACCTGTTCCCTCCTCTGTACCCACCTGTACTCTGTGCCCACTTCCTGTACCATCTTCTGTACTTTCCTCTTTGCATGAATCCCTTCATAACTCAATCTGGTTAAGACAGGATTAAACTTGAGCACAACCAGAATTGACAGTGCTTCCTCTTCCTCTCCAGTAGTTTGTGATGGATTAGCTCTAGTTGGGGATTCACAAATTTGCATTTCCAGCTGTTTCCTGGGTGATTACAGTGCCAGTGAGAAGAAGAAGCATGGCTCGGGGCTGAACTGGTGTCCAGGGCAACTCTACACTACAGTATGTGCCTGGGCTCAGGAGCTCAGACATGTTTGATGGAGAAGCCTTGGCATGTAGGCTGAGTGGAAAAATGAGACATGAAATACCTGAATGGAAAGCTCTGGCCCCTCTCGGCTAATCTTCACCTGATGCACCCTTCTGTTGGCCAAGTTCTCTGTGCTGATGGTGAACACATGACTTTCTTCCAGGTTTAGCCGATAGCGAACTTGTAAACTTCCTTGAAAGCAAAGAAGTGGGGAAGGATTAGAACTAAGAATAGCAAGCACAACATAGAAAGATGTGATTAAATTGTTCAAGAATTGGTCATTTTGTTTCTGTTTCCTGAGTCTCAACGACTCAGTATTAAACTTTTGTAAAATCAATATGTTCATCAGAGTTGAAATACAAACTTCTGAATATAGCTACTAAATAAAGTGAGTGCGTCTCTGTATTGATCTTTTTGTTGTTTTCTGTATGTGCCATTTTAAATTAAAATTCTAGTTTGAGATCTGCATGGTGGTGTAAACTTGTAATTTCAGCACTTTGGAGGCTGAGACAGGAGGATCAGGGTTACAGGCCAGCTGGACTACAGAGTAACCCTGCCTCAAAAAGGCAACTAGAAGAAATAGAACAGGGAGAGAGGGGAGGAAAGAAAGGACATGACAGAGGAAGAGGGGAGGAGGAGAGAGGAAGTAAGAGGTCCACTTTGACAAGCACATCCACAGACCAATTTTGTAATTGGAATGTGAGATCATGAGCGTGACTTGATTATTGTCATGACACGATTATCTCGGAATCATCTTCCTTCTTCTGAGCTTGAGAAGAAGGAAACCTACCCTTTCCTACCCACTGATGTGTAATACAATGTTTCAGTTTTAGTGTGGTCTGACTAAGGTATAGTGACCAACCTAATCCTTCATGGCCCCTTGGGAAATTCAAATTTTACCAGAGGAGTGTATATCAAGCAACTGTTCACTATCCATGAGTTCAGGAAATCAATCTGCTGAATCTCAACCTCCAAGGCTACAAAATGCATGGAAACTAAAGGGAATTTAAGAGAGTCTGGAAACACTTATGAAGGAGGGAGAGAAGAGGATGGAGGGGCTGAGGAAGACAAACCATTGCAGCATAAGCAGAATGGCTACTTCAGGGTGAATATCCTTTGTCAATCTGAAAGCAACTCTATGTGCCATGGCAGGCAAACATTCACTGGCTTCTTTATCCCAGGCATGTCTTCCCATTTCACCTCTCCAACACGGCTAGTGAGTGGCCCAGGTTGCTCTGTCTACTCTGAGGATTCACGTGTACTATACAGTTGGACTCTTCCTCAGACACCAGAAGCTCTCTCCTTGAGTACACAAGAGAGCACACCATGCTGAGAACAGAGTACAGTATCATACTCTGAGGGGCATTAAGGAGAAAATACATTTACTCAAATTTGGGCCAATTATGATTCTGGTCCATCCCTTCACATCCGCCCATTTCTGTGACCTGCCTCGACTGACTCATTTTCCCATTGCCAACAATCATAGGAAAACAACAGGGATTGCGTTGAAGATGGATATTCTTAGTCATCATGCCAGTGTTTGAATCCTCTTTTTCCTTTCTCTGCTTCTTTCTGTGTTTGTTAATATTCATTGTCTCTCTCTCTCCCCTAGGGTTCTCTATCACCACAGTCCTCCCTCAGGCCTACACAATGGTAAACACTTTAGGTTTACAGTCCCAGAGGTAGCAAACTGTCACAGGGAATGCACTGTCAATATAACAAACTAAAGAACTGGCTAAGTGCCAGGTCAGAAGTGCATTGAGAGCAATGCATCATACTGCATTTATCTCCCACTTGGTCTCATTTTTCTCTCTAGCCTACATTAGCAGTGCTGTGCATAAATGGGATACTTCCTCTGCATGAATATGGGCAGAGATTTTCTGTTTATAATATGGAAATTAAAAATAAAAGTGATTTTTGAGATGCAGTTATTGCCTCCTCTCTAAATATGTTCCTGAAATCAGCATTTGTAATAGAATGCACTCTGGTCACCAGCAAGTACCACATAAAATTTTAGTGGGTTCTTTTAATGTTGATACAATCAAATTATATCTATCCTCTTTTTTCCTCCATTTTTATACCTTTGAGCCAAATCTATACCTTTATTCCCCTCTGTGTGTGAGAACCCCACAAAGTTATCGTCAATACTACTTAGAAAAGTAATAGTGGTGTCTGGTGAGATGTCTCAGCAGGTAACGGTGTTTGACTACCTGTGTTCCATCCCTGGGTCCCACACATAAGGAGAGAACTGACTCTCAAAAGTTGTTTTCTGACTTCTACATACATGGCATGGCACAATAAATACTCATACAGAAACACACAGTGAATATATTAATATGATAAAACGTATGAAATTGAAAATAATAGTGCAACACTTATACTAAAAACAAACAAACAAACAAAACCCTAGAACAAAACATGGTGATGAGGATCCTTCTTCAAAAGAATCACATTTACATTCTAAAATATACTTCGTCAAACTGGACAGAATTACATTGCTTGCCTTACTAAGCAAATTCATCATGATTGAGTTTCTGCCTTCCATGTTCATCTAGGAAGTTCTTTCCTTTTCCCCCTTAATTTTATAGATATAAAAAAAATGAAAGTTTTGGAAATTGAAGAACTTCTTAAAATATTTACTTAATAATTTTTAGAGTCAGGTGTAGAATCTACATCTTAGTTTCAACACTCAAGGGTTTTCTTTAGAATGCAGTAGTCCTCAAAAGCCAGCCTTCCCTTTCCAGAGGAGCCTTCAGTGAGGAGAAGCTTTCACATTAGGCTCCTTCCTCCTTGACCTTCAGAATTCATCATAATGTTTCCATTGGGAAACTACCTAGATTCTTTAAGCTCATAGACTTGTCTATCTTCACCCTAGCATACACTGTGGTATATAGATTTTAATCTGCATATTCTGTAGAGGTCAGAACATAGTTTTGGTGCTTGTGTGTGTGTGTGTGTGTGTGTGTGTGTGTGTGTGTGTGTGTGTGTGTGTGTGCATGTGTGTGTGTGTGAGAGAGATGTTTATTTGTATGCATATGTAGTGTGCATCTAAACCACTGTGCATATCCATTTGTGCACCTGTACAGGCTTAAGGTCTAGACTAAGAGTCTTCCTTGGTTTATCTCCACCTACTTTTTTGCCTTAAAAAGATGCTAGCCATTGTGTTTAACTCCCAGTCTAATCCAGTAGGATTTCATCTTAACTAAGTATTCATATTCTATTTCCGAATGTCATTCTGAATTCTGTAAAGATGTTAAACTGGCTTGGAAAGTTTAAAAGTTAGATTTACTATCAATATAATTAAATATTTTTGGTTACTGAAATTTGCTTCAGGATCTGTCATAACTATTGTTTTCATCCTTTTTTATTCAGTCATTGAAGTTATTGAGACTAAGGTTATAGCTCAGTGATGGAGTACTGTGGTTAACACTCACAAGGCCATGTTATCCCTGGCATGGCAAAAACAGCAACCACAACAAAAAAAGCAAAATCATATATGTATTATTATTTTATATCAAATTCAAATAGAAGGGAATTAAAATCTGCGAAACAAATTTTAACATGTGAACATTAGTCATTTTATAGAGCTCTTCTCTTACATTTAATTATGAATTACACTACAATTTAAGTTTCATCATGCTTTCCTCCCCTTAGGTCCCACCATAAAAACACAAAGCATGGTTTAGAAGCCTTGGGATCAATGCATACAATAATGCCACTCTGGTTTCACAAAACAGACCAGAAACAATACACCTACCTTGAGAAACTGCATAAGCCCATTCTTAAGCTAAACCCATTTTACAGGGCTTGTATTCACACTGGCTAGTACAAGTGATGGTTGGATGCAGTGATATAGTTACAAAAATCTAGAAGACTCATAAATTCTTTAAAAAATTGCATAGATTGGAAGAACTACTATCATAAAATGTTCATTCTGCTCAAGGCAAATTACAGATTGACTAAAATATGTATCGAAATTCTAGTCACAATATTTAATAAAATAGATTCCTAAATTTATATGGAACTGAAAAGACCCTGAAGGATAAAAAGAATTTTGAGAAATAAAAACAACACAAAAGACCCTAAGGAGTAAACAGAATTTTGAAAAACAAAAATAAAACTATCATGGGTGTAAAATAATATGGAAAATCAGTAGTATACACAAAAGAATGGTGCTGGTGTAGAATTAAACATCTAGATCTATGTAACAGAATAAAGAGATCATAGATAAATATACACACATGAAGAAAAATACCCAATGATTAAAACATTTTTGTTTTTTTCTTGAGCATTTCATAGATGTATTCTGATCATGCCCACCCCACACTGACTCTTATAACTCTTCCCAGACTAAGTCTTGACAAATCTAAAAGAATACATAAAGGGACATGAACTGCCTCTTTAGTAAATAACAATGAAAGAATTAATGAAGCTCCCACAAAAGAACAAAGTGAGATATCTTTTAGAACATATTAGAAGCTGACCTAGAACATGCTAAAAGCTAAACTTAATGATCTAAACCTAAAAAACTTTTAGAGAAAAAAATGAAAACATTTCTTAAAACTATGAATTCAAAATTAAAGGTTATAATAGTCAGAAGATAAGGTGGACTGCATCAAATGGAAATGCTTCTTGGCTTCCTAGGGCCAGGGCCAGCCAGATGGTCAGCTATGACAGTCACTGCTGAGCAAGCCTGATGAGTTCAAGCTCCAGAACCCACAGGGGAAGGAGAGAACAGACTCCTGAATGCTGTCCTCTCATTGCTCAAGTTCATATTGGCACAGGCACTTACACTTAATACATACTTCATGGACCCACATATACACAAATAATACATGAATTGAATATCATTTTTAAAGCTCATGTACAGTATACAGAATAACTAATATAAGAAAATGGTGACCAACAGAACCAGAAAAAAAACCCCACCTCAAAACAGATTATATAGCAAAGAGTCTACAAACATCCAAATACATAAAGATTTTACTACTCAGCAGCCATACAAAACACACAATTTGGATGAAATGGACACATCCTGAATGGATATTTTCAAGGAAAACACACACTGTCTAAAGGGAATAAACAGTACTCAACCAGATGGCAGTAGTGGCATGCGCCTTTTTAATCACAGCCTATGTGAGGTAGAGGCAGGTGGATCACTGTGCGTTTGATGCCAGCCTGGTCTACAGAGT